TAAATTTATGTTACCATAAAAATAGATAAATCATATACATTTATTTTACATAATCATATTTTACATAGTACTTCATTTATAACAATATATATTCTGTTTAAGCATGATAAAAAAAATATTTTATAACATATATTTTAACATTATGTAAGATGAATGTAATACCATATTCACGTATTTAATATGTATGATTATACGCAAATTAAAATAATATTATATATATCTGCTTTATAATCTTCTTGAACAGGGTGCATTTTATTTTGCTTATGTATTTTTTTCGTTCCCATGTATTTAAAAGATTAATTTCAATAATTATTTACGAACTAAATTTTTTGTTACTTTAAAAGTATAAAATCTTATGCATAGTTATTATTATGATTTAAAAAATTATTAAAATTAAAAACATACCTAAAATTTAAGAGATAATACTTTAGATCCTACATAAAAGCGTCATTGCTAAAACATGTATATGATATATAGTTATAATTTAAGACATAAAATTATGTTTTAAATTTGAGAAATTTATTATTTTTTAATGAATCTATGTAATGTAGACTTGGTTCATTTAATATTTTTTTAGTATATATATCTTAATTATTTCCCTTATATATGAAGACAATAACTATATTATTTTTATATTCCTAAATATATGAAGCATATTTACAACAGCAATAATTCGAATAAGAATATCTTTAATAAAGGTTTTTATATAAGCATTCCCGGATTTTTTGAAATAGTTGTGATGATCTTCTTTGGTTGTATGTGAAATAATATTACAATATATATTTTAAGCGTAGTAATATGTAAGTTTTGCATTAATATGAATTTTAATTAATAATATTGCTATATTTTTATTATATTTATTTCTATGTACAATAATACGTATAAATAAAGAATGCAAAATTTATCCTTTTAACAACATGACGAATTAGACATCAAAATATTTAAACTTAAACAAATTTAAATTTTGTATTTTATTAGATTCATATAACATAACGTACGTATCTAAAAAAGCATTTGAAATGCTCTACGTTTAATTAACAAATGATAATTATAATATAAAGCATATATTTTCTTCAAGTGCATTAGTAAGTATTATGTATAGCTACTACGGTTCTTTGTATAATATATTAATTACTTCATATTTATATATATGATTTTTTTTAAATTCCTGAGTAAAATAAATACCTGAAGAGACAACAATAATATGGTATATTTGCATGATTAATATCAATTGAAATATATAAATATTTTAAGTGTTTATCGCATTACTATAAAATATCTCTATTATTTACATTTTTTTTTAATGTCTTGTATAGGTTTATTCTTTATAATGACATAGATTTTTGCATAATAAAATTTTATTTATGTGCTATATATGCACAATTTCATGGGGTATATTATAAATAAAATAAAAATATTACAGTTGGTTTTTAGTACACTTCAATAATAAATATATTATACAATTTATATTTCATTTTCAGTGATTTACTTTAATCTACATTTTTTAATTTATTCTTATGCTAACGTATTTATATTTCTGTACAATATTATACTGAATAAAATTGAATATTTATAATGAAATATGTGTTCTTTCTCTAATAAAACATTCATGAATAAGTGTAATATTTTCTATGTAAATGGAAACTTGAATGTTAATACTCCATTTATTGTTGTATTCTTACTTATTCCATTTAATAAAACGTTTAATATTACAATATATATTTTTCTTTTGTTATATGTGTAATATAGAAAATATTCACAGTATACATAATACTAAGTAGGTTAATAATCTGCATGCATTCACTGAAATACAACAAAAATTATATTTTTTTTTTCTTCAATATTAAATGAATTTTTTATATTGTATATACAATATATGTGAATTTGATTAATTATAATTAATTACATAGTTATTATTTAATTAGACTTAATATTATATAATTATGTATAAATAAGTAATAATACATAGGTGTTATAACACATTGTCTGCATAATTATAAGAAAAAGTTAAAAGAAAGATAAGTGTATATTACTACTTATAAAGCAGCAAGAACTGAATTAACTTACGCATTATATAATTATAAAAATAATCATAAAATGAAAATTTTAATACCTTTATATGGTTATGTACATAGACTAAAAAAAATTATATTTATTTCAAAATCATATTAATGAAAATTAGTTATCATTTAATATGCAAAAATATGATTCCATATTATATATATAGTTGCAATTTTAAGTTATAGAATAAATAAAACATTCATAATAATACATTGTAATCCTGATATCTCATTAAATATTGCTTCAATTTATTATTTATACGCACGAAATTCCTCATACTAAACATTCATGAAATACGTAGATTTATATATGATCAAATCATATATATTTATAGTAAATCAAAAAGTATAAAAAGCATATTTCAAGAAAAAATACGTGCTCAGATTCAATAAAATGATTCCAATATATTTTTGTATTATTCATAAAATATATATAAATAGTGATAATTACTGTCTAAATAATTATATATATACATAGGCAGTAAGAATAATTATGCACGGAATAGATATTTCTATTGTGAACACAAAATATATTAAAACATTTATAATGAAAATAAACATTAACAATATAAATGTTCTGAAAATGCATGAATTTATTTCTACGTAATATATTATAATATATAGGAATAAGGAATCTTGCATATTAAAGTGTTTCCTATAAATTCTTATGTATAAATAAAGTATGGTCATATTTAAGGTGTATTGTTTATTTCAAGGAATAAATGATATATTAATCAAACATATATATATTTATTATAAGAACTATATTCATATTGTTACTTCATGCATAAAATATATTAATTATATTACATATAAAAATATCAGCTTGTATATTTTCATGATTATATATCATAATATATACAAGTATTCTCCGTCATACATATTATTGTATCAATATATAATAAGAGATTTAGTAATAAATATAATTATTATTAATCTAAATGGTATAATGATATATTAAATTCAAAGCTATTATTTTTTTTTGCAAACATGAACATTAATTATTATGAGAATAATAATTTTACATAATCTAAATATATATTGATCAGATATGAAGAATTAGTTAAATTAATAATATTTTAAATATGTAATAAAATTATAAAACTTTAAAATATACCATCTTTATATTTATGGAATGTGTTTTAATAATATGTGAACTTTTGGTACATTACATATTCATTTATTTGTTAAACATATTATGTGTGTTAAATAACATTCACAGAGTTATTAAGGAATAATCATACATTGTTGTGTTTAATATTACATGTAAATATAGAAAATAATACTTATTTAATAAATATAATGTGATTAATATTTAATATTATGTATATATTTATGTAATGATTAATATATTATACAATTCTTCTGCTTAATATTATTCTTTAAATATAATTCTTATGAAATAATTGATACAAATTAAATAAATAAAAAATTTAAAATTTTTAACTAAATTATATTTAATTAGATCAAAATTAAAATAATAAAGTAATTTATTAAATTATAAAATTAATACATTACTATTGTTGTTTTTTTACACATTAAATATATATATGTAGAAGTATCTAAAATACCTGATTCATTAGACATATATAGCAAATAACAAAAAATAGCATGAATTCATTAGGTTTTTTTTATTATATTTACATCTGAATTAATGTATTATTATGTTCTTTTAAAAAAAATTAACTATTACAAATGAATAAATATAATGAATATTTATGTGCTATTTATTATTAATTATGCGTTAAAATAATATTTAAATCTATAAAGGAAAGAGTATATAAACAGTTTTATAATATTAGTCCACTGCTTTTTGTTATGTATCAATACAAGATAGGAGAAATCCTTATAAATATAAATAATTTTATGTATCACTATAAATTCATTATAATAAAATATATACAAACTATGGAACAATAATAACTGATTCCTGAAATATATTTGTGAAATAACATAAGTTGTGAAAACAAATAATAAATGTATATAGTAAATATGAGGTAATAATATAATACATATATGTGAATAAGAAATGATATAAATTATATATAAATTAGTTTTTATAATTCATCAGTACTAAATCTAATATAGTATATATAATAAAATTAAAATATATTTATATATTTGTTACACAGTTAATTTAGGAATTATTTATATTTAATTGAATGGATGAATAAAAAGATCTTCAATAAAGAACTAAACATAATTAAGGATCATGTACATTAATATATATTATGTTGATAAACTTTCTTCTTTTTATATATAGCAATAAGAAGAATGAGTCTAGAAAATATGTGTGAATATACAAACACATTTCACAAACAAAAAAAGGAAAAAAAAAATTTAATTCCATTCCCTTAGATATAAATTAAAAATAGTATAGTAACTCACTGAAATATTATTTCATTAAATTGACGTATTATTATTTTTTATTATTTTATATTGTCTATTAATTTTTTTTTTTTACGTGAACTATTTGATTGAAGAATTGTGAAAACATTTCGATTACATTATTCTATATGAGTTTTAAAAAAATAATTTTAATAAAATACATAATTAATCGTTAATTTAATGGGAACTATATAGCACATTATAATTACTATTCCAATATATATTGTTATATATTTCTGAGTTTTCTGATTTATTACATTGTTCCTTGAGACTATGACACTTATTTGTTATCCTTTTTATTTCACGACTTATGCATGAATTATATGGCAG